GCGCCTCTGCCTGAGGTGATCGCTGCGCCCTTCCCTTGCATTTGCGGCGATCAGCTGCGGTTCGCACACTTTGCGTTCCACGCATTTGTTGCGATCAGCCGCCAGTTTTACGTTTCGGCCTGGGGGGCGTCCGTCAGGCCGCAGATGTATTGCTGGGCCCGTTGCTGGATCTGGCACTGGCGGCCGTCGCCCGCCGGCGCGCCGGCGGTCGCGCGGCCCCTTCGTTTCTTTGATGTTTTTTTTGTTCTTGATTTTTTTTTTTTTTTTTTTTTTAAAAAAAAAAAAAAAAAAAAAAAAAAAAAAAAAAAAAAAAAAAAAAAAAAAAAAAAAAAAAAAAAAAAAAAAAAAAAAAAAAAAAAAAAAAAAAAAACGCAGGCGGAAGCGCCAGCGGCAGGCGGTCACGGTCGGGCGGCGGCCGCGACTAGGAGGCGGGCGCGCGCGGGGCCGCGGTCAGGCGGCGGGCAGCAGCGACCCAGGGCTTCTGAGCCAAGGCGTGCAAATCCAGGGAGTCTGCAGGGCAGCCCCTGAAAGGAACATGCAATGTCGCATCCAGGGAGTCTGAACACAGGCACCGAGGAAGCAGAGCGCAGCCAAAATGGCGCGTAAGGCGTTCCCAATCGTTCGAATCGAACGGGTAGGAAACTGTCCCGAGCGAGACGTCCATCCAGGGAGTCTGACGGGTAGCACAGACTGACTGGTGACACAGTCCAGCGGGGAAACTCTGACGGCGGAGGCAACCGTCGCGACTTCAGAACACGCATCCAGGGTGTGGAAACAGAGTAGCCAGAGATAGAACATTTTCTTTGATGAACGCGAAGCAATAAGTATTCATGGTTATAGTGATGGTGTGTTAGGATTGTTTCGGGTTGTATAGGATAGTTAGGATGTTATTTAGGATTGTATAGTGCGGCCATTAGTATTAGTGACGATTAGGTAATGAATTGTGACCTATAGGAGGCTAACAGCTCCTAAAACCATCGCAAGTTAAGATTTGTTGAATGTATATTTCATGTTTTCATCATGCTTAATTTTTCAATGTTCTTCAATATTTTTCACCGCTGTTCACTATCAGTCACGATTTGTCATTATTGTTGTCATTTTTCAATATTTTTCATTATTTTCATTACGTTTCACCATTTTCATTAGTTTTCACTACGTTTCCATTTTTTGGGGTATTTTCTGCATCTTTTTTTATTTTGAATACTAATAATTATATATATAAACACACCACAGAACGTTGCTTCCAAGAGAGACGAGGAGGTGCTCGTCCACCTGCAGCTCTGAACATGCAGCGAGGCGCCCGCGGGGGGGGTCTCTTTCTTCATCTGCTCGCTACCTGCAACATCTCCTCCTCGTCCTCACTTCCTACAGCGGCCAAACCGCTTGACATTTCATATTTGCAGTATTCCTGCCCCCCCCCCCCCCCCCCCCCCCCCTTCTGAGGCCAGACCGCTTGCCAACGTATTATCATGTTTGTCAAGTTCTGCCTTCCTTTTCTACAGCGGCCACGCCGCTCGGCATATCATATTATTATTATTCATCCTGCCCTCCCTTCTCCATTCTACAGCGGCCAAACCGCTTTGCATATTACCTCATTCACTTTTACGAAATATCTGAAGGGCGATGGCAATGCGCAAAGCGGTTTGACCGCTTCGCCCGTGCGCAACATCTTTGTGCGTAGCATCGGCTTGTGGCCCGCCCGCCTGTTGCTTGCGTGGAGAGGGGTGATGGGGGGGAGAAGGAGGAGGAGCAGCAGGAGCGGCCCCTCGCATCAGCGGTCTGACCGCTTTGCAATCTCTTTCGACGCGCCGCGCCAACGCGCCGCAGCCGCGACGACGGTTCGAGCGCTGTCGCCGCGGCGACGGCGGCGCGCGCGGCATGGGCTCCGCAGGAATCCTTCGGCGCATCGCCGCAGTCCGTTCAATCCTGGCGGCTATAGGCGAGCAGGCGCAGTTCGCCTCGGTGTCGCGCTCGCAATCGGCGCAGCTCATTCGGGAGCTCAAGAAGGCGAGGTTGCCGCCAGAGGAGCTTCAGCCGATTTTGGGTGCGATCGCGGAGTCGCGTTTTCTCGACTGCGATAAGGCGAGCATCAACGCCGCCATTTCGCAGCTGGTTTCTGCCGGTGGCGATCATTGCATTGCCATCGCGAACTACCAGGAGTGGGAGACGCTCACCGAGTTCTTGCCCCAGTCAGTGTGGGATTCCCTGCCTTCAGGGCATCCGAACATACTGTTCGACTTTCTGATTGACCTGGGACTGCGCAAAGCTTCGGGGCCGACGAAGCACGCGATGGCCTGCCTGCGCATGCAAGCAAGGAGAGGGCTTGAAGGCGCTCTTCAGATCGACTCTGCCACCAGGACACAGTCGGCGTTGGCAGTCGGCACGCTGTTCGAACAGAGGGCAGCTAAGAAGACGCTGCCAGTTCTTGTCATCATGAAGTTGCCAGCGGCGCCGATGATTCTTCAGATCGAGCATCCCGCTCTGTACATGCGGGTGTACAGTTTGCAGCAGCCGAAACGCTTCGATCTCGACCCCGTCCAATGGTGTGCCCTGAAAAAGGCCACCAAGATGCGCCATCGCACAGGTCGGGCTGCAGCTACGGGCGCCCCGAAGAGCAGCGGGATGCATTGGGCTCCCTCGGGACAGGTGGCTCCAACATCCTTCCCTTCACATCAGCAGCCGCGTCTGCCAAGCCAGGACGCATCTCCTGAAATGGTCGCGCAAGTGGTAACATCGATGATGCCATCGCTGTTGCCGATGCAGCAGCAGATCCAGGGGGTGCTGCACCAGGTACTCCAGCAAACGATCTCAGGGCAGCCGAGCGGGGCAGCGCCGAACCCGAACCCTTTCTCAGCGTTTCTGATTGGGTCTCCGAATGAGATGCCGCCAACATCGAGCTCACTCCAAGATGCCGTGGCAGCGATTGCTGCACCACCATCGCCTACCCCAGCACTTGTTGCACCGCCAGCACCAGCAGCGTGCGCAGCAGCACCAGCAGCAGGCGCGACAGCAGCACCAGCAGCGCGCGCTGCAGCACCAGCAGCAGACCTCGCGCCAGCAGCAGGCGCGTCGCCAGCAGCAGCAGCTGAGGCACCGCCTGCAGACTCACCGCCCAAAGTTGACGCCGCGACGGGATCGAAGCCGAAGCTGTCAGTAGCTGATGCAGCCGGCAGCATTACGAAGGCCTACGGCGCCCAGAAGAAGGGACGGAACAGGGCAACGACAGAAGATGAAGCCAAGGGCCGCGATGACCAATCTGCAGCACCCCCGAAGACGACAAAACCCGCCAAGAAGCCTGCAGCCGCTGGCCCGAAAACCGCCGTGAAGTTGCCGCGCTTGTACGACGAAGCCACGCGGAACAATTTCCTGATCGGCTTTAATGGTGTTGCGGACGCGCAGGGTTCCATGAGCTTCCCGCGCGCCGTGAAGGCGAAGCATGCTACCATGATGGGGGCCCGCGGGGGGAGAAGGGGAAGGGGCTCCGCGGAGGAGGGGGGCAGGATAAGGGGGGGAAGGTGGGGGAATGCGCGGCAGGAGGAGGAGAGGGGAGAGTAGGGGGGCGCATGGAGGAGCATTCATTTTCTTCTGAACCTGCAGGCCGCCAAGGTCTGCAAGGGCGCGTGCAGGAAGAGCAGCGTGCACGCCCCCCAGGGCCGCGAATTCCTCTCGAGCGCGACGTGAGGTTTGCGTCGGTGCTGAAACTATTGTCGCCGCGAGTGCATCTCCGCAGTCCTGGCGTCATACAAACATCTAAGGTTGCATCGTCTCGTGCCCTTGACGTTTGCTACAGCGGCCTGGCCGTTTTGCCTGATGCTTGCGTCTGGTTTGCGCAATGTGTTTGTCAAGCTTGCTTGTTATAGCGGCCCGACCGCTTTTGTCGCGTGCTGTGTGCCAACCTTGCTTATTATAGCGGCCAGCCGCTTTTGCTTGCTTCAGCGGCCTGGCCGCTTGCGCGGCCGCCCACGCCGCGCCCTGCGCCCTGCGCGGCGCCATGGGCGCGTTCCTCAACCTGGAGGACGTGGGCCCGCTGCGTTCCCTGCGTGGTGAGGACAGCTCCACGCTTTCCCTGCGCCTCTCTCTTTCTCCCGTGTCCCTCCCGTGTTCCCCCTCCCGTGTCCTTCCCGTGCCCCTCCCGCGCCCCGCGGGCCCCTCCTCCCGTGCCCCTCCCGCGTCGCCCCCGTGCCCTTCCCGTGTCCATCCCGTGTCTCTTCCGTGCCCCCCCCCGTGCCCCTCCTGCCCCTCCTCCCGTGCCCCTCTTGCGCGCGCCCCAGGAAGCAGCTGCAGTTGCAGCAGCGCGCGGCGGCGGAGCAGCACCAGCGCACGGCGCGGGAACAGCGCCAGCTGCTGCAGTTGCAGCACCAGCGCACGGCAGCACCAGTGCAGCTGCAGCACCAGCGCCAGCCGCAGCAGCGGCAGCACCGCAAGCAACATCGCACGGCATCCCGCGGCCATGGCATCAGCGCACGAACACGGAGGAGGCCGCCCTTCGCATCAGCCAGGCCAAAGCGCGAGCGCTCGATCGCCACCGCGGCCTTGACGCGCCTGCCCCTCGCGCGCCGAAAAGCCCAGTGCGCAAGAAGGCGAATCTCATTACGACGTCAAAGCACGGCAACGCAGTGGAGCAGGAGGACACGGCGACGAGAAGCGAGCCAAAACAGCCCGTGCAGCTGGTCTTCCCGACGGCAGGCAGCGCGTCAGCAGCGCTGCGGCAGCCGCAACAGCAGCCCCTGCCGACGCGCATGAAAGCCGCGCCATGCATGGCGCCATGGGCGAAGCCAGGACCCGCAGCGCCGCCTCCGAAGGCGCTGACGCCTCAACCGCCTGCAACGCCGCCCCCCGCGCCGCCGCAGCCTGCAGCGCCGCCGCCGCCTCCGAAGGCGCTCGGCGCGCCGAAGCAGCCTGCAACTCCGCCTCCCGCGGCGGCGCAGCCTGCAGCGCCGCCGCCGCCTCCGAAGGCTGGGGCTCAGCGCGCGCGCACCCCTGGCCCGTGCGGCTGGCAGGCTCCGAACGGAGAGCCGTGGAGGGCTGGCGTGGGCGGCGGCCATGCGCGCTGCGGCATCAGCGGCGGCCGCCATCGCGACTACTACCGCATTCTGAACGCCGCCAAGAAGCAGGGCCCAGAGGCGCTCGCGAGGTTCAAGGCCAGCAACCCGCGCCCTCGCGAGGTCGAGGGGGCGCTGGCCTTCTACCAGCTTGCGAAGGCGAAGATGCAGCCTGCATCGAAGCCGCCACCGCCTCCGCCGCTGCAGCGAGGAGCTGCCGTGAGGCCGCGGAGCTGCAGCGAGGAGCTGCAGCGAGGCCGCTGCAGTGAGGAGCTGCAGTGAGGAGCTGCAGCGAGGCCGCTGCAGTGAGGGGCAGCCACAAGTCGCTGCAGTGAGGGGCTGCCACAAGCCGCTTTTCATGGCGGAGGAGGAGGGGGGGGAGGAGGAGGAGGAGGAGGAGGGGGAGGAGGGAGGTGGATGGGGGAGGAGGAGGAGGAGGAGGAGGAGGAGAACGATGCCCGTTCGCACTTGGCGCCCGCAGGCATGCCTCGGCCCGCCTCGGCCCGCGCGCAGCCTAGCCGCCTCGGCCCGCCTTTGCCGAGCGACCTGGCCGCCTCGGCCCTCGCGCGAATGCAACATGGCGTGCTCTTCATTTTTCCTTCAACTTCCAGCGGCCAGACCGGTTTGCCTATTCCGCATGCGCCTTGCCCCTCCTTCTCCACTCCATCAATGCCGTTTTTTTGTTATTCCTCTTTTTCCTGCAACCCCTCCCCCTCCCACGTAGCGGCCAGACCGCTTTGCCTACTCCCCTTCCTCCATCTCCCCTCCACCAATACCAGCTTGCACCTCCTCCTACTTCACGCGCCCCCCCTCCTCCGACATGGCGGCCAGACCGCTTTGCGCGTTGCCGTCGCCATTCAGATAGCGGGCAGGCCGCTTCGCGCGGCGCCGCCGCCCTTCAGATAGCGGCGAGACCGCCTTGCGCGTTGATATCGCCCTTCAGCTTCGCATTGGTTTCGCCGCGTGGTTGCGTCCCGGCTCGAGGAGGCGGCCGAAGCCTCCGTTCCGCGGCCTTCGCATCAGCGGCTCGACCGCTCGCGAGCGCGCTTCTCGCCTTCTCTCCCTGCCGAGATGGCCGCCGACAACGGGCATTGCACGCAGCGGTGGTTCCACGAGTGCCCGTTTCCCGAGGGATGCAGCAAAGAGGCGTGGAGTCGAAAGTGGCATCGGTGCCAGTCGTGGGTTTCGGAAGACGATGCTCGCTACAAGGTCTTCAGGCACTTGAAGTCTCGCGATGAGCACAGGGGGGGCCTCGCGCATCTCGACGACGAAGGGATCAAAGAGCTAATCCATTCGTTGCCCATCGAGACTCGCACCATCACCAAGCGCGACGACGAGCACATCAGGTGGATGCAGTGGGAGGAAGAGAAGAATAAGAAGAAGCGCCGGGATGCCGCAGACGATCGCCGCGGCCAGAACAAGCGCCAGCTCGGAGGCAGCAACAAGGGAGGCCTCTCGCAGCAGCAGAAGGGAGAGATTGCCGAGATTGTTGCCAGCAGGCTCTGGCTCTCAAGTGCTCCACGTCCACTTGGACCTCCCTGCAGTAGAGGGCCCAGCAGTCGCACCAGCCTCGTCGAGCATGCCGCTGGCGTCGAGCACGCCGCTGGCGAGCCTTCGCCAGTCGCCAGCGGCGGTGGACAACGCCCAGAAGGTCGCCATCAGCATCGGCGAGCTGAAGGCGCTCCAGGACGAGATCAAGCGCTGCCCCCTCGCGTCGTCGCAGATCCTGCGCTTCCTCGATGGCGCCAGGGCTGCGTTCTCGAACGAGATGGTGACGTTCAACGCGGCCGACGAGACGATCGGCCAGATCATCGAGGCGCACGCGGGGGTGCACATGCACATCGGCCGCGGCATGCGAGGGCTGCGCCGCAGCTGGGCATCTGCAGCCTTCATCCCCCCTCACAATCTCACCATCGCAATCTCACAGTGGCAATCTCACCATCGCGATCTCACCATCGCAATCGCCTTCTTCGCTCCCGCAGCGCTGCGCCAGATGCCGATAAGAGCATCAGCTTGCAGGGGGGCACCGCCCGCGCGAACGGCCCGCAGCACGTGCGCTCGACGCTCGAGCCGTGAGCTCGACGTTCTCTGCTGTCGAGCCGCGCGCTCGACACTCACACTTGAAACAAAGACTGCGCTCCTCCCTCGCCCCTCCCGTGCCCCTCCCTCCCGCGTCCGTCCCTATATATGCCCCCGTTATGCCACTCCTCCCGTGCCCCTCCCATGCCCCTCCCGTGCCCCCCCCGCGTCTCCCGCGCCCCTCCCGCGCCCCCCCCGTGCCCCTCCCGCGTCTCCCGTGCCCCCCCCGCGCCCTTACTCCCGCGCCCCTCCTGCCCCTCCTCCCGCGCCCCTCCCGCGCCCCCACCGTGTCCCTGGATGTTGTCTGGGTGTTGTCTGGGTGTTGTCTTTTTTTTTTTTTTTTTTTTTTTTTTTTGTTTGCCGTTGCTTGGTGTTGTTCGGCGTTGTCTGGGGTCGCCCGCGGCAAAAACAACGCCCGGACAACACAAAACAACAACGTGTTTTTTTTGTTGTTTTGGATGTTTGTTGTTGTCTTTTTCGTGTGTTGCTGTCTGGGCGTTGTCTGGCGTTGTCTGGTGTTGCCTGGCGTTGTCCGGTGTTGCCCGGGATTTCCGGGGCGGGGGGGGGGGTGCGAGGGGGGGCGGGGGGGGGGGGGGGGGAGGGTAAGGTGCAGGATTCGGTACCATTTCACTTCCGCCCCTGTGGGAGGAGAGTAAGGAGGAGGCGCGCGCTATCACATTCGGAGTCTGTATGTGTATTTGCAGCGTGTATACTTTAAACATATACATGCATGTATGTATGATTGTATATATATATATGTATGTGTATGTTCTAAGCATACACACATACATATGACATATATTATAATTATATTCATATATATACATATATATGTGTGTGCGTACTACATTTATTTACATATTCATATATATATATAGTCATATATATATATGTATGTGTGTGCACCCTGTATATATATATATATATATATGTGTATGTGTGTGTACTCATCTCTAGGCGCGCGCTATCACATTCGGAGTCTGTCTGTGTATTTGCAGCGTGTATACTTTAAACATATACATGCATGTATGTATGTTTGCGTATATATATATGTATGTGTATGTTCTAAGCATACACGCATACATATGACATATATTATAATTATATTCATATATATACATATATATATATATGTGCGTACTACCTATATTTACATATACATATATATATATATATATATATATATTCATATATATGTATGTGTGTGAACCCTGTATATATATGTATGTGTATGTGTGTGTACTCATTTCTACACACCTATACATACGAACTTGTGAACATGCGTGTAGTTAAATATATGTGTGCGTGTAAAATATACAAACACATGTTTGTATATAAAAACAAACGAATATATATATGTATATGTCCGTGCGTTTGTTCATGATAAAAAGAAACAGGCGGATGATTGCGCTGGCACATTCGGATATGTGTATTTGTACGCGTGCGTTGTAGCGTGTATACTTAATACATATGCATGTATGTATAACTAGATGAATGAATCCTTTGCAAAAAAACACATACAGACACTTTAAACATATTTGAATATATATATACACATGCACTAGTAACTATACACATATACGAACATGTATATGAGCATGTGTGCCATTGCTTGTGTGTAAACGAAAATAAGATATGCACGCAGTGCTCATAAACGTATAACATGTGTACATATGCGTATATAATATATGTGTATTTTTAGGACCGATGTATGTGCATATGCGTGGATGTGTGAATTCACATATAAGTGTTCACATAAGTATGTGTACGTGCACAAACACATAATATAAGTCCACGAGTAAACACACTGATATACATATACACACATATACATAAACATGCACCTTTGTGTACTGACACGTATAAAAGGTATATTGTTCATATAATTGAATAGCAAATGCATGCATGTATGTATACACATGAGTATAATGATGTAATGTACGTGGCAATGTGTATTGTCGTGGCTATCACACATGCAATACATGTATACATATGCATATGTGTGCGTACACATGCAGTGCACATATACATACATATATAATAAACATACGTGTACATAAAATTATCCACTTTGGTGTGCCCCCATCCTCCTCCTCGCCCTGGCGACGGACGAGTCGCCCGCGCGGCCGGTTGGCTTCGCGATGGCGTGAATGCCCTGCTTCCAATATATACCCTCCTCCTCCTCCTCCCCCTCCTCCTTCTCCTCTTACTCCTACTCCTGTTCCTTCTCCTCCTCGTCCTCCTCGTCCTCCTCGCCCTGCTCCTCCTCGTCGTCCCAGTACACCGCCTCCTTCTCCTCCTCATATTCCTCTTACTCCCTCTTTGGGCCGCCATCCCCTTAAAATCTGCGCCAGGGGCTTTTCTGGAGTCCATCAGAGGTAATCCCCCGTTCCGGATATTTGTTGTTCGACGGCCCTGGAGCCCAAAAGCGGCCTCCGGAAATTAAAATCTAAGGGTGGGTCCAAAGGAGGGAGAAGAGCGAGGGGGAGGGCGAGAGGCGGAAGCGCGAGGAAGAGGACGAGGAGGAGGATGGGGATTGCGATCGCCCTGCTTGTGCTTCCGTAAATCCCAAACATCCGACTTTGCAAAGATCCGCGACGAAAATATCTCCCCCGGAAGCGAGGTCGAGAGCCGCGGGTAACCGCTGCGGCATGAACAAGTCGCAACGTCGGAAGTCCGGGAATTGGCGGCCGCGCCGGCAAGGCGATCTTCTCAGAGCACGCCGCGCCGCGGACAGAGATTCACATCATTTGTGAATATAACGGTCTAGATGATTCTTCTTGTGGAACGTATATATTGAAGGCGCATATACCAACAATATTCAATTTTTCCCCGTGCGAACTCGCCTGAATATGCAAAAACCCATGTGTTTTTAATGGTTTATGTGATCAAACACTTCTTTCGCGCCGGCTTCCGCTCTGAGCTGGTCGCTGATGGTTAAGATTTTTGTGTATTTCCTATGTGTTTTTGATGATTATGCCGCGTTCGCACGGGAAAACATTCGAAAATCAATGGTTTCCATCATAGTGAGTTTGGTGGAGGAGAAGCGCTCTTTGCACATGGCGATGATGACGGTTGTATGCGCAGGGAAGCGAAACAGGCGGCAACAGCGCTGCGTCCTCCGCAGAGAGGATGGACGCGGGGCGTGCGCGCATCAGGTGTCCTGCACTGCTGCACTATGGCAGGGGCAACTCGCAGGAGCG